AATTGTGAGAAAATAAATTTCTGTTTGTTAAAGCCATCCACTTACGGTATTTCTGTTAGAGAGGCACTAAGAAACTAAGACAAACAATGAATCATTTTTTTAGTAAAAGTATAATCCCAAATATTGCATGGGACATACTTACTGTAAAAATTAGTTATTGTTTATCTGAAATTCCAATTAACTGGGTATCCTGTATCTGGCAGCCCTGGATGAGAAGCTCTGGAAAACGTCTCTTGCTGCCTCCACAGGATGACCCAAGCCAGCCTGGAGGGGCACTGAAGCCCTAGGCAGGCTTCCTATGTCCTGCCCTGCCTCTGACTAGCTCCAAACTACCTGCCCATAAAATGGAGCCACAAGCCTCTGCCTCACTCTAGATGTTTTGCAGGGAATGTAGGGCAGGGCAAGAGTATACTTGTTGGTGCCAGAGAGGCCACATTAAAACTCCCAGGCATCAGTTTCTAAAAATATTAAATGTAGAATTACCATATGACCCAACAATTCCACTCCTAGATATGTACCCAAAGGGTTCACTGCAGCACTATACACACCAGCCAAAAAAGGTGGAAACAATCCAAGTGTCAATTAACAAAAGAACAGATAAACAAAATGTGGTATATCCATACAATGGAATATTACTCAGCCATAAAGAGAAATGAAGTCATAAAATGACACATATTGTTTGATTCCACTTATATGGACTGTCTAGAATAATCAAATGTATAGAGACCAAGGAGTCCCTGAATAGTGCAAACAGTTAATGCACTTGGCTGCTAACTAAAAGCCTGGAGGTTCAAATCCACTCAGAGATACCTCTGGAGAAAGGCCTGGCAATCTGCTTCCAAAAACTCAGCCACTGAAAACCCTATGGAGCACAGACTTACATGGGGTTGCCATGAGTCAGAGTCAACTCGACAGCAACTGGTTAACTGGTTTTATAGAGATCAAAGTTTATTAGTGATTACCAGGGGCAGGAGGGAGGGGAAAAGAGAGGCTCATTGCTTAGGGGGCACTCAGCTTCTATGAAGGGCTATAAAAGAATTCAAAAATGGATAGAGGTGATGAATGGTTGCACAACAGGGTGAACGTAATTAATGTCATTGAGTTGTACATGTAAAAAATGTTAAAATGGCAAATGTTGTTATATATATTTCTACCACAATAACAAAAAATTTATTTAATAAAAACACTAGACTTCCTGGCCATCAGGTAGCCTTAAAGTGAGCCCTGGCTCTACATCTGTAAGATGGAGATAACTAGGTCTGTCCACAAGGTTGAAGTGGGGATTAAACAAGAAAATGTATGTAACGTGCCTGGCACACAGTCAGTGCTTAATACAAGTTGATCCCCTTCCTTCCTGTCCACCAGCAGAAGCAGCTCATGCTCTTGCCCCCAGGGATTACAACTCAAGCATCTCCTGTCATCTCGGGTTTGACGACTGGCCTTTCTGATCTTCCCCTTGCAGCAGCAGCAGCTGTGAGCTGACACTCTTCACCTGACTTCACCTTTCTCCCAAATCCCTACCAGCAGTTCAGTTCCTTATCTGCACTTCTCACACACACTCTGGATGAGGGCGGAGGAGGATCAAACTTGCTTTGATAGCAGACATACACCAATGTCGGGCCAAAGGGAGCTACAGAGAGCAGGGCCCTGACGCCATTGTGAAATGGAAAAAGCAGCCTCCAGAATCGAGAATGTAAGGGAGCTGTCCTGATTGGGGGCAGCTCGGGCTGGCAGGGAGGCCTCCTCCTCTGGAGCTTCTCTGTCTGCTTGTTGCCCAGCACAAATGCCTAAGGTAAACTCTGCAACAGAAGGTGGGGATTGACCTTCTCTGAGAGCCAATTTTCATAGAGTTCTTTTCACTGCTAGATCTTAACACCCTTCAGTGAGGCCCAGAGAACTTAAAAATATGCCAAGGTCACCCACTTAGTCATTTACGGGCCCAAAAAGCTAGTGTTGATCAGTAAATCCCCAAATATAGGATTATCCATCCTCTTGTTGAATAGCCCCATGATACAGAGGACCATGTCCACCACCGTGGAGGCACAGACCATGTGGGTATATTCATAGAGCTCCAAAAGTGGGTGCCACTTACACTTTTCCAGATGCACAAATTACCCCAAGCCAAACCAATAGGGTTTGGTGACAGCCTGGGCTTACCCATTCCTGACTCCCTTCTTAGCACAGACAGCTGTGACCCACTTTGCTCTGCAGTCCAAAGACAGCCAGACACACATACTGTGAAGTTCACAGAAACTCTGCATGTGTGACTGTACAAAGACTCACTCAGCTAGAGCCACCTGTCTGTACCAGGTCCAGGGCTTGTCTGTGTGGTGAGGACCAGGCCTGCCGTAGGAGCAGAGGACTCAGCAGGGCTAACCATACAAGCTCAGGTCACTCTGGACTTGTTTTTCTTAGCACCTATGGCTTAGAGACCTCACACCATTACATGGCTAGGAGGACAGGCCTTCCTTCAGCCCTGCTGGTCCTGATACAGAATGCTGAGCATTCACATGTCTAGACTGGCTCACCTGTGCCAGGCAGGTAAGAAAAGGGACCCATCAGCCTTTATTTTATCCTAAGACCGAAAGGTTGGTGGTTTGAACTCACCCAGAGGTGCCTCCGAAAACAGATGAGCTGCTTCCAAAAGGTCACAGCCTTGAAAACTCTCTGGAGCAGTTCTACTCTGCACACATGGGGTTGCCATGAGTTGGAATTGACTCAACGGTAACAAACAACAACATTCTGTAACATCTTTTGAATCATAGACCCCTTTGTGAATCTCATGAAAGACAGCTCAATGCTGTTCTGCAAAAATTTCTGCAATGATGAAAATGTTGTATATCTCTGCTGCCCAATATAGCTGCCACTAGCTACGTGTGGTTATTGGACACTTGATATTTCGCTAATATGACTGAGGAACGAGGAACTGAATTTTAAATTTTATTTAATTTTAATTAATTTAAATAGGAATAGTCACATATGGCTAATGGCTACTGTATTGGATGGCACAGCTCTAGACCAGGGGCTTGAAAACTTTTTCAATAAAGGGCCAGATAGTAAATATTTTAGGTTATGCAGGCCATATGATCTCTGTTACAGTTATTCAACTCTGCAGTTGTAGTCCATGAAAGCAGCCATTAACAGTATGTAAATGAATCGGTGTGGATGTGTTTTAATAAAACTTTATTTACAAAAACAAGTTGTTGGCTGGATTTGGCCAGGGGGCCATAGTTTGCTAACCCCGGCTCTAAACTCTCCCTAGAAAATAAAACACACATGCTCTCATACACAGAATTTTGTCTATGATTTCAGGGGGTTCACAGACCTCCTGATGCTCAAAAATAGACTCTTGCTCATTAATTCCAGGCTAGAACCTCTGTTTTAAAAGGACTCTACTGAATGTACCCTCAAATCTGCTCTGCCTGAATGGCATTGTTTCCTGAGGGGTGTGACTTAGCCAGGGATCAATCTGACACTTTTTTCCCAAAGCTTTATGAAAGGTTGGGTCTCAGACAAGGATCCACAGGATTGCTGACTGAAGACACTAGGAGGGCCCTCTATGTTTCAGGCTCTCCCTGAATCTCTGTAGGCCCCTCCTCACTGACTCAGCCCACCCTCCCTCCATCCAAAGCCAACATATCATGGAAGGAGCTAAAGGTCTGAGAGACTTTAAGAAACATCTGAAAGCTCTCTCCTAGTAAGGAGGTTGTAGCTCAAGCTTGGGAAGAATTAGTTTTAGTTCAGGACCAGGGTTAAGATACAGCCAGGATGACCAAGATCACTGACTTGACATGAGGAAGAGCTGGTCTTTTTTTGAAAAGAAGTGGGGTTATCTGAGGAGTCTTCACTTTAAAGAGAGATAGGTCTTTGTCAGGAGCCCTCATTTAAAGGTAACTGAGCTTATGTCAGATGCCCTCAGTTAAAGGCATGTGGAACTTTCTCTGGAGCCTTCTCAGGAACCCTCAGATGACTGTGAGGCCATATTAGGTGCCCTCATGTAGTCAGGGTAAAGCACTGATCTGTCTTTCCCCATCCTCCTACCATCAGGGATAGTTTTTGTCAAGGAGGTCGGAGACAGGACCCGCCCACCTTCCAAGATATACTCCTGGCCAAGAAAAAGGTGATACAGTATCTATTTCCATTTTCCTATAGTTTCATTTGACAAAGTATCACTTTAAGTTCTTGAACAAAAGCAAGAGAAAGAAAGCTTTCTAATAACTGGCACGCTTTACTAGCATATTATGTTATTACTGGTATTAATTATCATTAACAGTCTTAAAATACACCTATTAATGATCTCAACACAAAATTGCAGTGCAGGTCGTAGCCAAGAGCAGCATAATTACCTATTAATGAGATGCAAATTTTCCAGGGAAATGACAGATCTAGAAGTACCACCTTCTGAACTAACATAATAAAGTTAATAATAATAATAGTGTATAATCTGAAGATATTAGTGTTAATTTGAAAGCTAACATCATATTTAAACAGGCTGATAGAAGTGGAAATTATTTGCATAGCTCAAATCAAGAAACCCTAATCCATGCCATTAAGGAAAAATTGATTGTTCTTCTCTGAATGACATAAAATTCACTCTTTGCAGTGGCTACATTGACCAGAAATTTTTTCAGCTACTTATTTTATGTCTTTTACTTAGGGCTTTTATCTCTCTTACTTCCAAAAAAAAAACAAGCTGAGGTACCTTATACAATTAAGCCCGATATAAAACAGAATTAAAAAAAATAAAAACACAAAAAAACCCAGTTAAAGGGGCAGACAACTAGATGTTATCAGGCCCTCAGGATAAACTACTACAGCTAAGCTCTGAATTTAATTCTCAGTTTCCTGGAGACACACAAAGGGCAATTTAAGTAACTGAGTTACTGGTTAGGAACCAGCCTTGGTGGGAGAGGCACAAGCTCTGATTCTGAAGAAGCCTGTCCGTGACGCTGAGAGCAGTGGCTATTACAACGTCACACCTCAGGCTTCAGGTCACCTACCTTCATAGCTGGCATGGAAGCCCTGGGCACTGACTGCGTAGTCACTGATGAGGCGCAGAGAGAGAGTGGTGGCCACGCTAACGATGGTGGCTGGCAGCTGAAAGCCTGTGAGTCTGAAACAAAAAAAGGTACGTTTAAGGAGAAAAGTCCCATGGGGAAACGTCACATCAATTATGCATTTATTGAGCACCTGATGGATGCACAATTAAGCACTTACTGCGTACCTGCTTGATGCTAACTTAGGCACAGGGAGGGATATGTAAGGAGCCTAACTCTAGGCACATACAAGGTGTCCAAAGATAAAGGGATCTGCACGCAAACGTGATGGAAACCAGCAGTCTTCTACCACAGAAACCGGAAGGGCTACTCCCCTGAAAAATGGCCTAATCCCAGACCTGGAGGTCTGCCTCTTTTGTCTATCTTTACTTTTCTCCTCTTCTGGTTTCTTCTCCTCTCTCCTCCCTTTCTGGCTGGGATCTTTTGAGGCTATGGGTAGAAGTCTCCACAGATTTACATCTAGTAATGCCAATAAACAATATTTATTCATACACTGAGGAAAACATAGCCAACTCTAAGTAGCATACTGTTTTCTTACCATAGGTTTTATTCTTCAAAAGGAATGTTTACTGAGTTTATAGAATGATACATGCTCATTATTTTAAAAAGAAGCAAGCAAAAAAAAAAAAAAATCTAGAAAGAAAGAATCATTCTTGACAGCTGATCCACAAAGAGATGAAAAGATCAATGGGTGGGATTATAGTCAATGAAAGTAATTTATACAAGTGGGATAATACTTTACATGCTTTTAAAATTAAAATGTTTAAATTTATATATTTTTCTGGAATTTAAGTGAAGATAAAGAAATGCGGATGAAACTGAAGGAACTGCTGAACCTGAGAGAAATTCATCTTTAACACGAGAGGCATTTTTAAAAGATTCTCCTAATGTTAAAAAGATAAAATAACGAAGCTTTCACTGAACATATGGGAACAAATTTTTGGAATTTGTCACGTCTTGGCCTCCATGCATGGTGGTCCCCACAGGAGACCTGACTGTGCACACAGGTAATAGTGAGGTATCCAGTTGCCCATCGACCTTTATGCTCTGTCCCCTATCTGAGGCTCAGCCCTGCCCCTCACCCTATCAGGATCTAGTTGGGGGGTGATACAAGGTTTATCTTTACCTCCACATTCAGGTAGTGTGGTGTATCTGTGGTGCTCCTGGACCCCTCTGTATACCTTCCCCTGCTATAACACCTTGATGTTCATAAGGATGTCCAATGGACAATGTGAGTATTTGGTTAAGACAAGTTAAATCAGATATCTGTTAAAGCCCATTGGGAAAAAGCCCTGTGCTAGATGAAGCTTTTGCCCTTTCTGCTGTCTTAATATTACTAAATTCATGTTCAGAATGAACTCAAAGAAAAGAGAAGGAAAGGTGATCAATCTGTAAAAAGAGTGACCAAATGAGTTTCAAAAACATCTTTTCTTCAGGTATAAAGACACCAGTGGAGGATCCCTACCTCACCCCATATAATTTCTCTCTCTCATACACATTTTTCACACAGGTCAAAAATTTATATGTAGAGGTGGAGACAACAAAGCACTATAGACAGAAGCACCACACTGTCCCTCTATAGCAAAGACTCGAAAAATTAAATAAAATAGATACAAATGTCAATCTTGGAACCGTAAACATCAAATTAAGGGATAAAGAGCTAGATCAAGCACCGAATGGAATAAGAAGCTGACAGAGAATAGAGCACAAGGAGAGCTACGGAGTGGAGGTCCCTACTAGCTAATGCAGCATGGATTCGCCATCTCGGACCTCAGCCACCAAAAACAGCAGACAGGGAGTACAGGAAGGCAACTTCATGGAGCTCCGAACAGGAGGCAGAGCACCTGGTAACCCGGGATACATGCTTTCCCACCCCCACCCTTCTTCTCTCTATGTGGCCTCTGTCACTTTCCAATGGGCCATGGTCACTCAGCCAGAGAGACACCAGCTCAGTGCTGCCGGGTCCACCCTGCTCCCACTGGCCAGCTCCTTCCGCCATTTTTTTTTAACTGGTTTTTAGGCTTTTTTGTTTGTTTGTTTCTTCTCTCTCCCTTCCTTCCTTTCCTTTCTCCTGCCCAGCTAGCCCTGTGGCCATGCCTGCCCCTTCTTGATGGCCTGTGCCACACAGCTTGGCTAGAGAGCCGTAGGCACACAACATTCCCGGGTCCATGCCACCCCACAGGCAGGCTCCCCCAGTGCCATTTTTTTTTAAGTTTCTTCTCTCTCTCTTCCTTCCTTTCTTTTCTCCCGCTCAGCTAGCCCCATGTGCCATCCCCACCCCTTCTTGATGGACTCTGCCATACCGTTCAGCTAGACAGCCACCAGCACATGGCCTTCCTGGGTCCACAACGCCCCCACCAGCAAGTTCCCTCAGTGCATTTCTTTGTTTGTTTGTTTTTTCTTTTCTTTTTTTTTTTCTTTTTTTGTTGTTTCTTCTCTCTCTCCCCTACCCCTGTCCTTTCTTTCCTTTCTCCAACCTACCTGGCCCCATGCTTTGCCAACCTCCTTCTCAACAGACTGTGCCGTACCACTTGGCTAGAGAGCCTCTGGCATATGGCCTTCCCAGATCTGCACCACTCCCACAGGTCGGCTACCTCAACATCATAGTTTTTGTTTTTCTTTATCTTTCCCCATCTCCTTTTTTCTTCTCCCTCAGCCGCTTCCTGACAGTCATGCCATTCCACCTGGCGAGAGAGACATCACCTCGCTGCCACCCCAATTCTGTCCTGACCTAACAGCCAGTATCCCCATCAACATATTTATTTATTTTTTCTTGCTAGTTTTTTGTTTTGTTTCTCATCTCCCTTTCCTTTCTCATGCCCACCTAGCCCTGTGTGCCACCCACACCCCTTCTTGACACGGGCTAACTCAAAATGGATCGAAGACCTAAATATAAAACCAAAAACTATAAAGATCATAGAAGAAAAAATACAGTCAATGTTAGAAGCCCTAATACACAGCATAAATAGGATACAAACCATAACTAACAATACACAAACACCAAAAGATAGGCTAGATAGCTGGGATTTTCTAAAAATTAAACACTTAAGTTCATCAAAAGACTTCCAAAAGAATAAAAAGAGAACCTATTGTAAAAATGCTTGGGGTCAGTGTCTGACCTCCTTCAACCCCACAAAGGGGAAGGAGAACCAAGATCAACAGCACAATGCTGACTCCCATGAGGTGGAGGCCAGAGAAGTCTACTCTCTCCATCATCTTTACTAGTTCTGATACCAACCATCCCTCGCACAGCACTCTCTACTGAGTTTGATAATACATTGCAATGGCCACACAGAACTCACAAAATACTCACGATTATGGAGTTTATTAGGGAAGTAACAGTTACAATCCAAGCTCAGGAACACTCAAGATAACAATTCTTCCATCAGGAGAGCCTCTTCCCAGCCATGCTAGAAGGCACGGCTGGCCCTCAGTCTCTGCCCAAAGGCACTCTGCTTTCTCTCTCTGTGGGCCTGGAAGCCTACCGCGCTGTCTCCTGCTGCCGGATGTCTGCTGCTGGGTCTCTGCTGCTGGTCTCTCCTTCCTTGATGGTGGTCAGCTCCTCTCCGCTGCTCTGGAATTTGCTCTCTTTTAAGGCAAAACTGACCAATCTCCTTGGATTACCCTATCACATAGTCCCACCCAATCACCTGGGTGGGAGTTACAAGACCATGGCTAGAAAGGTCACACAAAAGCAATCAATCAGTAATCAATCGTACCACATCTAAAGACTGAGAAAAAAATTTGACTATGACAAATCTGACGAAGTTCTAATCTGTAAAGTCTATCAGAAAATCCAATGCCTCTACAACAAAAAGACAAATAATCCAATTAAAAAATGAGCAAAGGAAAAGAACAGACACTTCACCGAAGAAGACCAAAGAAGCAGCTAACGGATACATGAGAAAATGCTCTCGATCGCTAGCCATTAGAGAAATGCAAATGAAAACCACAATGAGATACCATCTCACCCCGACATTACTGGCACGAATCAAAAAAACAGAAAATAACAAATGTTGGAGAAGCTGCGAGGAGACTGGAACTCTTATGCTCTGCTGGTGGGAATGTAAAATGGTACAACCATTTTGGGAAATGGCATGGTGCTTCCTTAAAAAGCTAGAAATAGAAATACCATACAATCCAGCTATCCCACTCCTACAAATATATCCTAGAGAAATAAGAGCCATCACGTGAATAGACATATGCACATCCATGTTCACTGCAGCATTATTTACAATAGCAAAAAGATGGAAACAACCTAAGTGACCATCAACAGATGAATGGATAAACAAACTATGGTACATACACACAATGGAATACTATGCAATGATAAAGAACAATGATGAACCTGCGAAACATTTCACAACATGGATGAATCTGGAGGGCATTATGCTGAGTGAAATAAGTTAATCGCAAAAGGACAAATACTGTATGAGACCACTACTATAAAACCTCATGAAAAGGTTCACACACAGAAAGAAACAATCTTTGGTGGTTACAAGCAAGGGGAAGGGTAGAGAGGGAAAAACACTAACTAGACAATAGATAAGTGGTAACTTTGGTGAAGGGTAAGACAGTACACAATACTGAGGAAGTCAGCACATCTTGACCAAGGCAAGGTCATGGAAGCTTCACAGACACATCCAAACTCCCTGAGGGACCGAATTACTGGGTTGAGAGCCAGGGACCATGGTCTTGGGGGACATCTAGCTCAACTGGCATAACATAGTTCGTAAGGAAAATGTTCTACATTCTACTATGGTGAGTAGCTTCTGGCATCTTAAAAGCTTGTAAGCAGCCATCTAAGATACTCCACTGGTCCCTTCCCATCTGGAGCAAGGGAGAATGAAGAAAACCAAGGACACCAAGGAAAGGTTAGTCCAAAGAACTAATGGACCACAACTACCTCAGCCTCCACCAGACTGAGTCCATCACAACTAGTGCTGGCTACCACCACCGACTGCCCTGACAGGGATCACAATAGATGGTCCCGGACAGAGCTGGAGAAAAATGTAAAACAAAATTCTAACTCACAAAAAAAGACCAGACTTACCAG